ATTGTCGTTTGGATCAGATATGGTGGAAGGTTTACGGATTCACTCAGATCTACACGCAATGCATCTAGAGAGCAAAGGCCACTGTTGGGAGACGGAGAAGGTTGACTACATGGTCCCGCCGATCAGCAAACTGCAGGATGGTTCACTCAAATATCCCTTCTTGTTGAAAATATTATATTTTTAAGTTAATGCTTTAATGCTTTGATTTAATACAGAAAAAAAAAAGCTAAAATAGTAAATAGCAAATAACTCTATTTCAATACTTAATTTTTATTCTCCATGCATAATGCAAATCAGGGTCTATATGTATATAATAATTAAACAAAGGGAATCTGTGTAAATGACGTAATAAACTTCTTAAAGCCAATAAAATGTAAACTAGAGTTTCACTTGTCGAGTTGTACAACGCTTACAAACATTGTTAAATTAGGAAGCTGTGGTATCTTAAAAGATATACCTCGAAGAGTTTCTTTTTCTATCCACATCTTGTTCAATGTCCCAAGTCTCAGTAGTACCTTGCAAGGTGAGTCGTGCACTACGTTTTATTTGAATTGCTTACGGAAGGTTAATGTTTCTTTTATTGCTAGTATAAAACAGGCAGAGTTCTTGGGCAAGGCACTTATGCCGTAGTTAAAGGTCAGTAAGCCCCTAACTGCTTTGAATTTAATGTACTATGCAAATGAGATGTTATTTGCTCCATTGTTCTCGCGTTACACCCAAGCCTTAGTAATAATATTAACAATGTATTTTTATGTGTATTGATTTGCATTTGTAATTATTCATATTCAGAGGCCCAGCATGTATGTATGCTACATTATTTAACGATTTGTAGCTTATATCTAAACAACTGTTTACAAAGTGACATTTATTAATAGATCGAAACTGGGCGACTTTATGCCGTAAAGATCATCAACAAAAAGTTGATGCATGGAAGAGAGGACATGGTTCGCAATGAAATCACGGTTTTGAAAAGAATATCTCAAGGCAATCCAAATATTTTGACCTTGCATGACTATTTTGAGACTATGAACAATCGTAGGTTTAACATTTGCCATTTGAGGCAATGATCTTTTAATTTTATCTGTTAGTATTAATTTTTTTTTGTATTGCTCGATCGTATAATGTCTCCTGACGTTTAAATAAATCTTTTTATAACCAGTGTATTTGGTGACAGATCTGGCACTTGGTGGAGAACTCTTTGATCGTATTTGTGCTAAAGGCAATTATTATGAAAACGATGCTGCTCATCTTATTAAAATTATAACATCAGCTGTTGCATATCTTCATAATCATGGAATTGTTCATCGTGGTAAGTACATG